CCACTGGATAATGAGGGCACCTGGATTCAAACCCATATTACACCACATGAGCTTTTGGATGACTTTTTAACCCCTCGGTTCTCTGTCGGTCATGATTGAAATACAAATAGTTTTGCCCAACAAACATGTTAAAGATCTAATCATTTTAAGAAAAAGTAAACATTCAATTCTATTCAATTTTATTACTATAGCTCCACATCACAACAACAGTTATTTATCTCACAGCTTTCCAAACAGAGCAGGTCAGACCTATTCTGAAGTTAACTACAGAAACCCAACAATTCCCACCATGAGCAAGCACTAGGCGACACAGGCAAGGAAAAACTTCCTTTTAACAGGCAGAAACCTGGAGCAGAACCATGGCTCAGGGTCATTCAGTTGATGTTGGACTGTTAAAAGAAGCATTTTTTCCATTTCAGTTCGTGTTGTTGAAACTGTAGCATGCAAAATTGTGTTTTAATTATATTTTTTTGTGTTAATTAATGTATTTATTTACTTATTTTTCATGATCCAGCTCCGCCTATGACCGGGACAACAAGATCCGCGTGGCCATTAAAAAGATCAGCCCCTTTGAGCACCAGACCTACTGCCAACGCACCCTGAGGGAAATCAAGATCCTCCTCCGCTTCAAACACGAGAACATCATCGGAATCAACGACATCATCCGCACGCCGTCCATCGACCAGATGAAGGACGTGTATCCTCACCTGGTCCAAAGTGGCTGGAGACAGAGTTGTGTATTTGTATTAGTATTCTAGAGTGGGACGGCTATGTTTGCTGTTTTATTCACTGGGGGTGGAACGGTTCACAAAATCCACGGTTCGGTTCGATTCACGGTTTCGTGGTCACGGTTTTTGGTTCGGTTCGGTATATGTTGATTGTTAGGAAAACCTATTATGTCTTGTATACAGTAATCCCTCGTTTATCGCGGGGGTTACGTTCCGAAAATGACCCGCGATAAGTGAAATCCGCGAAATAGAAAACTTTTTTTTTTTTTTTTTACAATTAACAACTATTACATGTATACAAATACAGTGTCGCTCTTTTTTCTTCTTTGCAAAAAGATCCTTGTACACCGACATGCCACCATC